AGCTGCCCTCCAGAAGCGGCAGCGGGCCGCTGCTGGGCAGGCGGCCTCTTGTCTCACACGAGGCCACGTCTGCGGCGACGCCGACGGCGAGCGAATCCTGCTCAGACTGGGCACGAAATGCCGTCGGTCTTCGCCCCCGCTCCTGCCGCACCCGTGTGGATCGCACCGAGGAGCGAGGACAGATCAGCCGGGGGTGGACGACACGTGTGGCGAGCAACCGCGGGGCCAAAAGGCGCGCCGTGTCACACGATGCGATGTGCTGACTCGCGTCAATGTCTACCCTCGAGCCCTCCCCTGGCAGGGGGAGGCCACTGCCTTCTGAAGCTCTCGGGCGTTTGGGGGGGCGCCCGCCTGGGCCTCCGGAGACCTCCGGGAAGAGGAGGAGGGGTGGCGCTGGTGGAGGAGGATGGCGGGGAGGAGGAGGAGGAGGGAGAGGAGGAGGTTTCCTTTTTATTTTGAGGAGGAGGGAGGCAGGACGGAGGAGGAGGATAAGGAGGAGGATGAGGAGGAGGCGGGAAGCAGGAGGAGGAGGAGGAGGAGGAGGAGGAGGAGGAGGAGGAGGAGGAGGAGGAGCAGGAGGGAGGAGGGAGGGGAGGAGGAAGAGGAGGAGCAAGAGGAGGAGCAAGAGGAGGAGGATGAGCAGGAGGACGAGGAGGAGGAGGAGGAGGAGGAGGAGGAGGAGGAGGAGGAGGAGGAGGAGAAGCGACGAAGGTGGGGGGAAGACGTGGGAGGACGAGCTTCCCTCCTCCTCCTCCTCCTCCTCCTCCTCCCCCTCCTTCTCGTCTTCCTTCCCCCTTTCGTCTCCCTCTCCCATCTTCGCTCCTCCTCGTCCTCCTCCTCTTGCTTCTCCGCCTGGAGCCGAGGAGAGCGGGGGAAGGACGAGAAGGGGCCATCAGAAAGTTGGAACGGGGAGCAGGCACATCTCGAGGAGCCTCCCACGGCAATGGCCTCTGCGCGAAACCTCGCGATGCCACGCGGGACACCCGCGGAGTTGGCGGGCCACCCACGACGGCTCGTGCGCCGAGCGGCGAGCTGCACGATCCCGCACAGCGGGCACCGGCCCTGGCCTGCACTCTCCCCGACACGCAGTCCCCAAGGAGGGGCGGGCGTTCGTTGGGCTCGACGCCCTCCCTCTGATGCCAGACTCTCAGCAATGCAGAGGCAGGTGACCGCATCGCTGTCCAGCCGAAGCTGGAATCCCCCTGCCGTATTCGGGCAAGGAATCTGAGTTGCCCGACTCCTGAGCAGAGCCACGCGCCTCAGCAGGCAACTCCTCCTCAAGGCGGAGAACGGGGAGGGGGGAAGGTGACGAGGGGCGGGGACGGGGAACAGGACGGTGAGGTGAGCGGTGGCCTGAAGGCGCAGCGTCGCGCCGCATTGGTCCCCAGCGGGGCCCCGAGCCCGCTGGGCAGGCAGTGGACCGACTACCAGTTACCAGAAGAGGCGAGGAGGAGGGCACGGGGACGCGACGGAGGAGGGCACGAAGCGCGGAGGAGAGGCCCTGGCCTACCCAGGGGCGTGCAACAAAGCAGGGTGGAGGGGCAGAAGGGCGAGGAGAGCAGCGGGCAGCGGTGGGGGGGGGGCGCGAGGGCGAGGGAAGGCATCGGCAGGACAAGCTGGAAGTGAGGAAGAGAGGAGAGAGGAGCGGGAGATGGGGGCATACGGCAAGGGGGGGCGGAGGGCAAAGGGAGGCGAGAGGGGGGGGGCGACGTGGAGACAAGCTGCAGGGAGAGTCGGATTGTGAAGCGCGGCGTCGAATACTGGGTGACGCAAGATACCGACACGCGCAAGGTGTCCTCCAGTACTTCCTACGTGGGCGCCGTGCTGCATACATTCAGATATCAAATATTGCGCGATCCCATGCGTTTCTTCGGGTCCACTTCATACTACTACTTCCGTCCTAGGTCAAACATTGTCCCAGGGCACTTGCACTGACACCTGCCTGCCTTCGCTGTCAAACAATGCCCTGCTGTGTCGAAGACGGGGCCACATGCCACGATCCCCAGCAGTTCCAGTGCCCTGCTGTGCTGACGACGCAGTCGTTGTCTTTAGGACTATCACCGCACAAACCTGGATCTGCCCTGCTGTTTGGCACGCCTGAAATGAGGACTGCATCAACGGGGACGACGCCCCAACGGAAGTGCTGTCCGAAAGCAGCAGCGGCTGCTATTGGGCGAGCGAAGTTTTCTACTATACGGACGACGTGCCTGGAATCCGAAACGATGCCAACACGAATTGGATAGGAAATTTCTGGAGCGCCTCAATCCGCGCGGACAGACGCCATTAGCCATGGCCGGACCAGCCCGAGCACCATGCTGCGACGACGATGGCTGCGACGACGATGCTAGAGGCTGCCACTGGTCCTGCTTGGCCCCGGGCAGCTCCCGACACGCCCCGCTGCTCCGACGCCGCACAGCTGCCGCTGATTCCGAGCAGTCCTGGCCAACTTGCTGCCAAGCCCTGATGCACCTGCCATGCCGCGGCGCGCCGAGGGGGGAAGCGAGAGGGGGCAGGCCTTCTTGGCGGCGCGCAGAAGGGGGCATGGGGGAGGGGAGAAGGCTTCTTAGAAGGAGGCTGCTCCTTACAAGGCGGCGGCCCTGTGTCTCTAGAGCAGGCCAGCGCCTTCTAAGAAGCAGGGGTGCTTCTAAGAAGCCTTTCCCCCCTCCCCCTGCCCCCCCTCTGCGCGTGGCCGACCCTCTCAAAGGGCGGCGGGGCTCTCGCAGGAAGGCTGGGGGCCTTCCGAGCCTCCCGAGCAGGCCCGCCCCCTGTGCCTTCTCCCTCCCGGGCGCGCCGCCGAGCCACGCCGGCGGTTCCCACTGGCCCCGCTCGGCTTCGACTGGGTCTCGCTGCGCTGCTGCACCGAGGATGTCAGAAATCGCCACCGGTCCCGAATGGCCTCGCCGTCTTCCACGCATGCCCCTGTGCGTTTGCTGCTCGCCCGCCTGGGTGATCGAGTGGGGGAGCTTGTTTTGTGAGGTCCACACCCTTGCCCACGCTGCCTTGGCAAGGGATAGCCGGAACCGCTTCGGGTCCTCTCGTTTGTTCCATCTCGAGTGGCGAGGCTGCCTGCGCAGCCTCGCCTATGCACGGCCCACCACTGCCCGCTCATGTCCAGGGCGCGCCAGCGCTTGCAAGCCATGTGCCACGTGCCCCCGGAAACCCTGCAATTAAGCCACAGTCCGAAGAGAGCTGCAGCGCGGTCGCCTGGTGCATTTAGTGTACCATGAATGGTCGAATCAAGGTGTGCCGCCGCTGCCCTTCATCGTCACCGCGTGTCTGACAGTTAATCCGGGCCTGCGGTCCACATCTGTGCTCGCTCGCCGATCCGCTCGGTTCGTCTGGCCACCTTCTTGTATGAGAATCCGTGCCGCAAGACGTTTCACTCAGCGAGCCAGTTGTACTGCCTGCTCGTGCTTCGTAATATTGATCGCCACCGTTGCGTGCGCACGTCTTGCGACGGCCAGATTGCCCACGGCAAGCTCAAGTTGAACTTCTTGGGAAACGCGTCGTGCTTCCATGCCTGCTTGTTTCCATGCTTGCCTGCTTGCTTCCAGTCCGTTATGCCTGCAAAGCTGTTGCGTGTGCATGCAAGCTTGCTTAGCTGCATGCTGTCCCTGGTTACGTAGCACCATGTTCGCTGCTTGGGGGCCCCGCGGCAGGACCAGCACAACACAATATTCAACTATCTTGCACCGTTGCATCCAAACGCGTTGTACAAAATCCATCTACCCTGTTTGAAGATAATACTGGGACGGGATGGATACGGCAAGTCCGTGCGGCGACGACCTGGGCGTTGGTTCCTGACACCGCGTAGATCGTTCAACCTTCAACGATCGCGGCTTCCCGATAGCGGGATCGTTCGATACAATCTCGGCTGGGCCGCCGGCGGCGTGCAACCTTGAACGCCCGTGCTGGGGTCGCCACCGCATCGACGTGGCGCAAACCTACCGCACTCAGCAAGAATGGAACCAGCGGCAAAGGGGCGGAAGACAGCCAACACCAGCGAACGGCGCCGGCAGCAGTGGCAAGTGCCGCGCCGCACCCGAGAGGGCCGACGCCGCAGAAGGGGGCACGGGCGACGCCCGACCGGACAGGCGCTGGCAGGAGCACGAGCCCGCGCGTAGCGCCAGGCGGACTGACGGTCAGATATGTCTTCCCCCCCCTCCCTCCCGCATCCCTGCTTCTCCACCACCTCAGCTTCCCTCCTCGTCCTCCTCCCGATCATCCCTCCTGCTCCTCACTCCTCCTCCTAATTGCTCGTCGACCCTCCTCCTCCTCCTCCTCCTCCTCCTCCTCCTCCTCCTCCTCCTCCTCCCTACGGTCAGTACTGTTGCTTAGCGTGTCGTGGCGGCGGCCCCGGCGACACGCTATGCCCTGCAAAATAAGAAAAAAAAAAAAAAAAAAAAGAAAACAAAACAAAAACAAAAAAAAAAAAAAACAAAAAAAAAAAAAATAAAAAAAAAAAAAAAAACTCAATAAAAAATAAAAAAACAAAAAAAAATTAAGGAATAACATAGAAAAATAAAAGAAAAAAAAAAAAGAAAAAAAAAAAAAAAAAAAAAAAGAAACAAAAAAAAAAAAAAAAAACAAAAAAAAATACAAAAGAAACAAAAAAAAAGTGCAAAAAAAAATAGAAAAACAAGCAAAAAAGCGGAGGGCGTGTCGCTGCGCTTCGCGGAACTGCGCGCGCAGAGATGGAGAGACGTGGAGCTCTGGTGGAGAGGGGGCAACGAAGCGAGGGATGATGGGATGATGTAGAAGGAGAGAGGATGAGGAGGAGGAGGAGAGGAGGAGGAAGATGAGGAGGAGGAGGAGGAGGAGGAGGAGGAAGGGGAGGAAGGAGGAGGAAGAGGGAGGCGACGGCGACGACGACGACGGGCAACGACCGCGGCGGCGGCGGCGGCGGCGAGCGGCGGTCGGCGGCTGCCCCCCCCCCGAGCCCCCGGCGCGCAGTCGCCGCACCAGGCGAGGGAGCAGAGGCCGGGCGGCAGCAGGGCCACCTGCGGGCGGCTGCTTGTTGAGGGGGGGGGGAGGGCGAGGGCCCCTCCTCCCGCCCGTCGATCCTCGATGCTCGATGTTTTTCTTGACTAGGCACTGTGCTCGTGGATGCCACGACAGTGGACACCCTAACAGTCCTATCATTGAACTGAACATGTGTTTAACATGTAGGACACATGTTCTACACATGCTTTAAACATGGTTTTACATGTTTAAAACATGTCTGACACATGTTTTAGACATCTGGAAATGATTTGGCAACATGCTTCCTCTCCAGTGATCGTCCTCCACAAACCTACTCGATCGATGTTTTTTTGTTTGAGTAGGCACTGTGCCTGCTGTCAGCAGCAGGAGCAGCGGCCATGCGGAGAGACCTCCACAAGGGCGACTTGTCACAGCACGAGCGGGATGTGCTGAGAAGACTGTGCGCCATGCAGCGGGCGCAAAACTGGAGGCACTGCAAAGACTGCCATAAAATACGGAGAGGCACGAGTCAGCTGCACAAGACAAAACCTTCCTTGTAAGACCTGGCAGGGGCCAGGAAAAGGGGGCTGTCTTGAAACAAGGTAGCCATCGTAAAGCGCAGGACGCCGCAGGGACAGAGCCAACGGGACCATACCTGGGGCAACCCCAGAATGGACCAACAGGCCTCGGAAAAAAATAGCGAACACTCATGCCACATTCATCTGTGAACGCCTCCCCCTCCCCCCAATGTTCAAAGTTGGCGGTGGGTCTGATGAGTTGCACCTCGACCGCAGTCTCGCCCGCGCGTGCCAACTTTGAGTTTGGGGGGTAGGGGGGGGGGTGTTCACTAATTGTTTCCCTCTGCCGAATTGCTCATTGTCTCCCATCCGCCCGCAGGTGCCCGAGCACATACATTCAAATCAATGCCGCGTGGCAAAGAAATGCAAATAGGCGAGGCTCTGTCACCGTGGCAAAGCCTTGACTGACAGGAGGGCACACGTTACACAGGAGTGCGGCCCACTGGCAGCAAACAGAAAGCTCGGACACACTGCCGACCGCCACGGTAATGTGGCGGCAAGAGACTGACGCGTGAAGAGGGCAAGCAGAAAGACACAGGGCCATTTCCCACGAAAGAACATATTCCCCGTGTCTAACTGCAACTTCCCCACCGTCAATCCGACGATCCCGAATCTGAGCCGTCACGGACCAATTGACTCGCGATCAAAACAGAACCTTGGACGGAGGCCGACGAGGATGCGCGCCCCTGCACCCCAGAGCTGGATGCAGGAGGCGCGCCGGTCACAGAAAACAGAGCACGAGCAGTTTCCTCATCGGCCTCGTCGTCTTCGAAAGTGGAGGCCGAATCGGGGGCCAGGGCCTCGCCCTCGAGAGGGGGCCCCGACGCGGCAGTGACGGCGCTGCCCGCGGCAGCAGGGAATGACAACTCCTCCCCGTCAACCTCCTGACTGACATCGCTGCGTCCAGGTTTCGGCAGACGCATCAAATAACTCACAGGTAACCGAGCTGTCTTTGAGATGGAAACCACTTTTGAGGGATCTAACCACTGCGGCTGCTGACTTGGTGAGCTTGCTGGGGGGTCCAACGGGAGGCATTGTCTCCACAATTTCTTGAACTGACCTCCGCTAGGATATCCCAAACAACTCGCACAGAGATAGAGCATGGTGGAATTAAAGCAGGTGGGGGCAACAATGTGATGGCCTCTCTCGTGTAGAGAAGTGGCAACATCTGGCAGCTTGCCTGAACAGTCTCTGTTGGGTGACTTGTCTACGTGTCTCTTGAAGCAAATGCAGGTTTGGCACCTCCAGAACTTTCCGAACCAGGCCCGCTCGTGTGGCAACGAGTGTGAGTCCTCCTCCACCATTTACTCAGCAGCAGCACGAGAAACGCTTGACAGATCTTGCCTGGGCCAGGGCGGCATAGGCATAGATGCCACCTTACAAACCAACTTGGGAATCTTAACGTCGTGGTCCACTTGCTGTAAAACCGCCTCTGAATGACGAGGGTAGGCGGCAGCTCCCTGATTGGCAGCTGCATCTGCTAGGTCGTTGTCATTTTTGCAAAGCCGTTCGAAATCCGTCAAACGTGGGCTGTCGCTGAGATGCGCCTTGACCTTTTGAGCAGCGGAAGAAAAGAGTGGCGCATCTTCATGAACATGCCTGCGCGTGGCCTCTTGTATGAGGTCTGCAAAGAATGCGGGAGGGCGAAAGCCTTGACCACATTCATGCAGTCACCGTATCTCTGGGAGGGGCCGACCAAGATTTCATTTCCCGCAGCTAATGAACCAAATTCACCAGCCTGAGACGTCCAGGGAATTCGGCCCACATGGGCCCTGAGAGGGAAACGGGGCCGCCCCCCACATCATTCAAAACCGCAATTCTCCATCTCGCTCTGCCGAGCCCCGAGACAATGTGTTTGAAAGCTGACCTGTCCACAATCACATGCCCCTGGATCTCAGTAAAGGAAGACGCGGGGTCATCGGTCCAGGAGATCGTGATGCCTCCATCTTTCGCGGGGCCATCGGGGTGATCACCGGAGGTGGGAAATCGGCGCGAGTGAACAGTTGGAACCGATCCTCATTGGGGTCCGCGGGGAGGGCTTCGTTGATGATACCTTGGGGAACGAATTCTCGTCGCTCCTCTGATACTGCTGCGCACTGCCAAAGCCGATGAACGATGGTGTCTGGCTCGGCCATGCGTAGCGGGGCAAGGGTCGGAGTCCAGCTCATATCCTGCCTGGATCGCCCAGGTCCTGGACCGGATGACATCGCAACAGAGGGAGTTGTGGCGGCCCTTCAAGTGCGGCGTGGGTTTCTTGCTGCGGAGCGTGGCGCACGCCGCGTCGAAGCAGAGTCTGTCCAAAAAAACATTACTTGGCGACCATGGCCCTCAGGAGTCCTGTGATAACACCTGACTGCAACGACTGCCTGACTGACTTCGGGGAGGTGGTGGCGAAGGAAATCTTGACCCCGAGATCTGAGACCAGTAGCAACATCTTCCATATCCCAATCTGTCTGAGAGAGGGAAGGTCTCATGGCCAGCAATGGGCCATAGCAGGACTTCCAGGAGGGTTGGTCAGCCTTGACAGCGAGAGCCCATGCTTCGCGCAACTGGTGGAAAGAAACCGAGAAACTGAGCTCGCGCAACTGGTTGCTCCAAATCTCCTTCGCGTGTCTGACCAGTGGGGCGAAGGAGGGGTGCCGGCAGGGGTCGTTGTCTATGATGCTGAGGGCGGTAAGGGATCTCGAACCTGCCGACGGTTTCGCGCATCTCCCAAAGGCTCTCCTGAGGTTGCCCATCTCAAAATCGGAAGCACCATGTCTTTCACTGCCGCAAGTAGCTGCGGAAAGACCTCCCAAACAAGAACCACTTCTTTGCGCGGCGACCCACAGCCTCCCGAGATCGACGAATGCGACGGGCGCGAAGGTTGAGGGTTCAAAATCTTTCCTCATGCCTAGCACTCGTTTTGGGCCGCCTGCGCGGCCTGCTTGCGGGGTCGTCCACGCCGAGATTGACGGCCGAGTTGGAGGCCCTTCCAAGATCTCCGAAGAAAAAGTGCAAGCTCTCTCCAAGCTTAGAAGACGAGCGAATGAGGGCGGCACTGTCGATGGAAATGGTGCTGTGCTGTTCGTTTATGATCATGTTGCCTACTTGACATATAAACCTCGATCTCCCTGGATATGACATGTTGAGGACCAGAACCCGATGTGCTGCAATCATCTATGTAGACCGTGAGGTGGAGGCACCTCGGCACAACTAGGAGGTCCAGGGCAGGAACCAGGAATATCCTGACGAGCTACTACTACTACTACTACTACTACTAAAACTACTACTACTACTACTACTACTACTACTACTACTACTACTTCTACTATTACTACTACTACTAATACTACGACTACTACTACTACTACTACTATACTACTACTAACTACTACTAAGTACTAGTACTAACTACTACTACTACTACTACTTCTACTACTACTACTACTACTACTACTACTACTACTACTACTACTACTACTACTACTACTTATATACTACTACTTACTAGAGTACTACTACTACTACTACTACTACTACTACTACTACTACTACTACTAACTACTACGACTACTACTAACTACTACTACTACTACTACTACTACTACTACTACTACTACTACTCAGTCACACGCGCAGGCAGGAAGCAGAATACTGACGAGCTACTACTACTACTACTACTACTACTACTACTACTACTACTACTACGACTACTACTACTACTACTACTACTACTACTACTACTACTACTACTACTACTACTACTACTAGTACTACTAGTACTACTACTACTACTACTACTACTACTATTACTACTACTAACTACTACTACTACTACTACTACTACTACTACTACTACTACTACTACTACTACTACTACTACTACTACTAGTACTACTACTACTACTACTACTTCTACTACTACTACTACTACTACTACTACTACTACTACTACTACTACTACTACTACTACTACTACTACTACTTAGTCACACGCCGCAGGCGCGTGGACGCAGACAGTGCTGCGATACCCTGTCGTGCCATAGATGTCGATCATGCAAAAATCGTCGGCTGACGCGATATGCCTCATTCCGTACCATTGTTGTCCACTCGTTGCGCGGGCGGCCGCGGCACCTGACGAACCTGGCTGCCGCCGGCCTGTCTCTTCCTGGGGTGAATGCTTGAGATCGTAGTGCATCTTGCGGGGGTGCTCTCGCTCTGCGTCCGGAGTGCAACAATTGTTCCTTCATCAATAGGTCGCTCGCGGGCTGGCAGCGAGCCCCCTCCAGCACCGTGGCGTTCGAGACTCTGGACAAGAAGGGGGGGGGGGTCTCGTAACCTTGCTCAAGCATCTGTAGTAGAACCCATGTCGCCTTCCTGTGTCTGACGAATTTAACCATGCTGGCTGTTGTCCGTGCGCCAACTTGGACACGATTTCCGAATAGAAGATATTCACCTTCTTGGCGACCGTCAGAGAT